TTTCACTTACGGTGGTGCGCATTCTGAATTGTAAAGTGGGACAATCATAGAAAGACTTCCGACACCCATACCGCTGTTCTTCACGTTAGCGCTGCTCGTCCCGTCGGTAACGAAGGTCAGCAGAAGATTACTTACGTGACGAATCTTCCTCCAAGAATTGCCTCGTGGCCACCAGAAATAGAAGAAATTTGGACAATAACACCGAGCATGAAAACACCAGTCGCAATGAGCACACCGTATTTACGGGAGCAAACTTCAGCGATGAAGCCGGATAAGATAGCACCGACCCAAGCGCCAAGCTCGAGAATTGATGTCAGCCAGCCTTTTTGGGTTGGGTTCTTTGTGTATCCGTCCATATCTGAGCGGAAAGCATGTGTAAGCTGGTCTAAATCCTCAATGATTGCGAACACATCTAGGAGGAAAGGGTTGGGAGATCTTACGCTTGTCGAACGACGGCATAGCGAGAATACCGGAGAACATGCCCTAATCGCGGGTAAGTAACTCATATCTACCATGTTTCTGTGATTCCAAAACCCAATTGACAGAGTTTCCTCACCTGGTTATAGCCGTACAAGACACCGCCAATGCAGGCGAAGGCAGCGATGCGGGCGACTTTCCAATTCTTGACAAGAGCCCTTGCACCACTAGCTCCCATCAATGCCTGACGTCTTTGTAGCGCGGCATCATAAGCCGCATTGCCAGATGAGTGGCCTCCCATGATCGCCGGTATGCTTTTCTTCTTGCACGTGATAAGGCACAAAAATTCGGGGTTGATGCCGTTCTGCCCACGTTGTCGCTGAGAAAAGTGAACGTCTTAGGTTGCAGTCAATTGGAGTGTTAGAGCTGGATCTGTGGTTCGATGGGACTGTCGCCTCTTTATTGTTCTGTGAGGGAACACGGAGGCAAAGCTGCAGGGTGTGAGCATTGCAGCATCTGATACGATGATCTTTCTCGTTCCTTCATAGCGGGTTTTCAAGCAGGTAGCCCATGCTACCACCAGTAGGAGCGCAAACCAACGCAAATACCAAAACTCTCGGCAGTGAAAGCCATAGTCTCGTTGAGCTTGATTGCCTGTCGTATAAAACAGCTCTCGGTCGAATGTGAAAATACGCCGAGCCTGGACACCCTGCACGATACCCCGCGTGAGAATGGCCATGAGACGACAAATCCTAGGCTCTTAGCACGATCAAATCATCAAAGCCGGCAATAGCAATTTAGCCTAAAGGCGTTGAGGGTGTAACCGTCTTTTGCCAGTCTGGGGGAAGATGCCGACGCTTATCCCCGGCGCCGACCCGCGTGGGGATTGGACGGATGCGTTGACCTTACGCTGCGGTGACAAGGGTTCGCTCACACGCTTTCATCTTACAGGTTGGATGGCCCCATTCCATTCTGCCCCATTTACCGGCCGAATCCCGTACGGTTTTGACCTTCTGGGGTACAGCAGCTCGCGTCTGAATGAGACCGATATGCGCCGTGCTTGACCATCTCTGGGAACCTATTGATTAGCGAGACATCGCACAGGACGAAGACGTTGCTTCGGCTCTCGCATAGCGGGCTGAAACCCCGGCCTCCCTTACAGACTCGGAAGAGCTTCGATATTGACTTTCAGCTCAATAGTCTAGATTCTTACATTTGTAAATTACATTGACGGAATTTTCAGAGCTTAGCAGATACACACGCAGACATCGTCGCCTTATCTCGCTATGTTGCACTGAATCCATTGCTGACTGAAGTATTGCTCTTAGCGTTTCGGCCAGCTGTCGGTGGATTCCTACGAGTCTTGCATATGGGCTTGCCCGGGGTAGCTACGCGAGTTGTAGACCAACCAGTCTTATATTGGTTCAAAGTACCTTGCTGCTCACTGCTGAACTTCAAGCTTTCGACACCAGCTCTGGTTCCCTGCCGAAAAACAGGCCGAACAGTCGATCGCACAAACTGGTAGATCTTCCTTTGACGGGTGCATCGCGGCGCAATTCTCCAGATCGACGCGGATCATCTCCAACAGGCTCTTTAATCCAGTCGCCCGGAATCTGGGTGATAAAATCGTACCAATAGTCGCCGAATAAGCGGTACCCCTGATTGGTAGGATGAATACCATCTCTCAGTGCGTTCATTGGAAAGCTCGAGAAGTCGACAGTGAGAACGTGTTTACCGGCGCTTTGTCGGGATTGAACAACATCATGAATCACCGCGTTGAATAGAGCAATATTGCCCATCTGGACTGGATCATAGCAGCCAATGATCTTGGCGACAAGGACTGTGGCATCTGGGCAGGTCTGCACGACCTGGTCGATCAAGTGGCCTAGACGGTCTGCCGTGGCGTGAGGTTCGCTGCCTTCTCTAGCAACGTCTGGATTCGGGTTCATGTCGTTCGTTCCAGCATGAATGAGGACGATATTAGGTCTCTGGGCCAAAGAAGGTCCGATATTATCTGACATGAACTTGATAGTCATGCCATTCCACGCTGCCTAGTGAGTCGGACGACTCGTCAACTGAGGAATTCACAGGAGTGCACTATTCAACGTACATAATACCCTTCACGCATCGTGCCGTGCATGGTTTCCGTCCCAGCAAAAACGACTCTATCCTCTTGTGGATTCGTTAGTATGATATCTCTTGATTCGTAGAAGAGGACTGACCCACTTGACAGGTCTTCTCGGAGCTTAAGTCTGTAGCCGTTGCCATCGCCTCCCTCTATGTCACTGAGAAACCCCACTGTGATGGAGTCGCCAACCCCAAGGATCCGGAGGGTGGTTCCTGGCTTGACCCCTTGGCCGGGCCGTATCCCTTTGAATTTGAGTGGCGCATGAGATGCCATCGCGGCTTAGATCGTAGACTACCCTTTGACTACTTTGACGATGATTTGACGCTTAATATCGTGAGCGGGGCCTTCACGTTAGACCTGTACCGTGATGAACTGCTGCAGCTAAATTGATGAGCTCGTTGGTGATGTGTGCACGGCCAACATCAAGATCTGTGACGTTGGTTTCAGACGGAGCCCCTCAACAGCTGAGGCTCGACCCAAGGAATGCAACAACAAAGCCAAGAACATGAATGCGGAGTACGTTTTTCCTTTCCGAATATTTCTCAGCGAACCTTAACATTTGCCAAGGACTTCGATTATATGTTGCCGACAGAATTCCAATCAACCCCGCCCGCTTCATATGATGATGCCTGGTCCTACTACAGTTGTTTTGAGGCACTCACTGAGGGGCATTTATTTAACTGGGCTCTCAGTTGATGCAAATTCTTCAAACAGTTTGAATTAAGTACTTCTTCACATCGGATCACTGCCTGATAATAGCGGCACATCATCACATGGGGAGTGGACATAAAGTAATAGTGACATGTTGCGGAATTCAGATCATAGGACTCGTCTAGCTGAAAGTGTGAACATAAAACTGAACAAGCCTAGTGCAGCTTCGATCGCCAGCTCTATTGATAGACGAACAATCACAAAATTTCGGGCGTGCCGTTCAGGAGCGTGGCTGTCCTTGTTTCTGGCGGGACCCCTACATGGTGGTTAACCGTCGTATTTGATACGAATAATCGCGTTCAAAAATCGTATTGCTATGCGCTTCGCACTGCCACTGTGGATCGCCCCTGAATCCTTACGTCTACTCTCGAGCTATGGTCTGTAAATGTTAGAAGAGATAAATAGCCCTCATTAACTTTTCTCTCGCCTTGTATGTAATTGTAACAGCAGCATTGTATGTGATTGAACCGGTCTTGTATTTTTCTATTGTCTGCTCACGTTGGCAATTCGCCCCATTCCCACGCTCTCTAACTAATAACGACCAAGACCCTCGGCATATAGATTAGCATCACGACGAAAGGCTTTCAGACAATGGTGAACGAGCTCGACGGACCTGGCCCCTTCGGACCCGTTGTTAACGGAACACAAATCGTGTTCTATCATTACCGTCCGAATGGAGGGGCAGGATGGGCGTTCCTCGTCATTTTTGCGCTCGGTGCACTGGCTCATCTTGGCAACATGTTCTGGCTCAGAGCATGGCATTTCATACCTTTTATATTAGGTGGCATTGGTAGGTCTTGCACGTACTACGAAACTCTATACCTTAGTACCTGCCGTGACTAATCCAGGAATAATAGGAGAAGCGTTTGGATACTACGGACGTGCAAAAGCTCACGAGAACCCCATTGTGGCTGGGCCCTACATCTTACAAAATCTCTTGATTCTTGGATCTCCGCCGCTTTTCGCCGCAACGATTTACATGAGTCTCGGCCGCATCATGATCGCTCTCGACCTCCGGCGCCACGCTTTCGTGAGCCCACGTCTCACGGCCTTCTTCTACGTCCTCATTGACGTCGGCTGTTTTGTTACTCAGGTCTTTGGCGCCGTCATGCCAGCCTCTGGTACGGAAGAGGGCATCAGGATGGGTAAGACTCTGATCATGTCCGGTCTTGCGGCCCAACTCGGCGTTATCACCCTATTTGTGCTTTCTTGCTGGCACTCTCACGCCTGTGCTCGACGCGAGGCAACCGACTTGAACGCGACAAAAGCGGGAATCGAGTGGAGGAAGTACTACCTGATGACGTACGGCATTGCCTCTCTCATGTTTCTGAGAAGTTTGATCAGGGGAATTGAGTATTTTCAAGGCGAGAATGGGTACATCATGAGCCATGAGATCTTCTTATACCTCTTTGATGCTGTTCCCATGGTCGCGATTATGGCGATGTATCTTTGGATTCACCCTGGGAGGTTGGTTCGCGATGTTGGCCGGGTCAAAAGTTACACTTGGCCTGATGAGGCCAATATAATGCTTGAGAGGCGATGAAGTCTCATTTTGCGATCCCTCGGTAACCCGAACGAGACGCATTTCTCATAGTATTGTATGTTGAATTCCGGCACCACATCATGCACATAGAGCGGTACAATAGACAACTTTCATTTGTTTGAAGCAGATATTTACATCAGAGAACCCAACTCAAAACTCCAGCCCTGTCACCACTGCACGAGGGAACTTGTCCGATTTCGATCAATGGTCGTTGCGCTCTAACCACTTCTCGCAAGCCTGGTAAATCTTGTCAAAAGACTCGCAATGCTGCACAACACGTTGATAATGTTCCTCTCCAGCTCTCTTGACAAAGTGCAGAAATCCAACAAAAACGAAGTCCGTGTAAGACACTGGATTGGGTATCGTTAGCGGTCGTGTCGATGGATTCCCAGTGGAAAAGTCGAGAGTGCATGCATACCCTTGTCACCGAGGAAGTACGGGCCATCGGTCTTGTCCAGAAGCTTCGCGAGGCCCTCCAGTGGCTGTTTGGCATTCGCCCAGGCTTCATCCCCTCCCTTGGTCTTCTCAAGCTCATCCAGTGAGACCCCAAACATCTCCGCCCTAGTTCGATGAAAGTACTCCGCGCTATACTCGCCCAACATTTTACGGGGGACATTGGGCAAAAGGACAGCAACAAGAGCTCCGAAAGTCTTGCTTAGAAGATCGTACATTGGCTGGAGCACCTCCGAATCTATGTAGAGCGGCGGCTCAGGGTAGTCCGCTTCAATGCGCTTGATGATCTTGGCGCTGTTCATGATGTATGTACCATCAGGGAACTGCACAGTGGGACACGTGTAAGGCTTGATCTGGTCCGGGTCACCTTCCAAGCCCGTTGGCTTGAGCCTAGGCTCGATATCGGGATACTCGAGCCACTCCGTCTTGTAGTCAATGCCCTTGTAGTTGAGAGTCAGTCGAGCTGTATGCAGAATTACGTCAGTCGAAATGTCCAGCGTTTACCCTGGTTGAGTGAGGCTACCCACTCTTCCAAGGATTCAAAGACCAACAGGCCCCGTTCCGATCGGGAATATCGAACAAGATGAGCTTTTCGGGCATGGTGACTTCGATGTTGCGATCTCTGCGACCGATGGTGGGATTTGAGGAGAGTTCGTTCGGGGATAAGTGGTTTTATGTAAGTTAACTCAAGTGAGAGGGGTAAGAGTAAGCATGAGGGGAATAGAGGAACAAGGAGCTTGGCAAGGGTTCATCGGACTGATCTCATTCATTACAAATCGACCGCCCGGAGAGGATCCGCGGCGGGCAGTGGGGTTCCGGCGCTAGCTGCTTACTGCGTCGGTGTTCATTGACCAGACTTTTACGGTTATTCCAGCCGTAAACATGGTGAATGCGGTATTTTGGCAGGCTTCGCATCGTAGTTCTAAAGGATCCAAAGATCGAGAAATGGACTGTAGGACGCAATTCGAACATGGGTTCCACAATCTTGATTTCTGCATCTCTGGGGATGCCTGACGAGATTATGAATTTCTCTACCTGCCGAGACCGGACAAAATTACGTAGTCCGAGTTCCGAGCAGCGGAAGGACAGTTCAAGCGGGCTAGACCTACTTCACGCTGGGAGAGGTACAGTGCGTTGAGTTCAAATCAATTATCTATTCCTACTGATCGAGCAACCTGTAAGTTGCAACTGTCTCCAATGGTCAATACTCTCTCTTACTCTTTCTTATACCATGGCTTGTCACCAGAGCTTGCATCGCTATGGAGCGTTTGTAGAATAAGCTCGACTTCATCATCAGCAGCTTCAAAGATATGTTCTGGGGGAAATTGCGGTTTCCATCCAAGTTGAGCACCGTGCTTGGCTGTGAAGGTACACCTAGGTTCAAATAGCCAACGTTAGCTCTGATAAACAGACTGCTGGTCCACGATCATGCACTTTACACAACTTGGAATTCACTCACTTTCCAGCCAATCTCATTTGGACGAGAGAGCTCTCCGTGCCTAACCCGTGAGCCATCTTGCCAAGGGCCGTTTCGTCTGCGGGAACGACACGTTCATCTGTAATGACGTTCCGGACCTTAAGTGCCTTGGCTATCGCCTCATACAGGTCATCCCAGGTAACACTACCGGAAGCTGCGAGATAGTAGCCGTTCTTCCCGTATTCTGGCTTTTCTCCGTTCAAAATTGAGCGCAGAATTTGAAGGTAGAGGGATGTGTTATCAATTACGTGGCAGACAGGCCAAGTCTCAAGATGGGGTAAGCTTTTGTCAACATTTCTGGGGAGATATTGATCACTTACTGGGCGACCAGGTGTGACTGAGTAAACTTGACCAGCCGCCCTAGCGGCTTTGACAATGTCGACGGTTTGAATGGAAATAGGATTGCCAAGTCCTTCTCCCCTTCCATCTGTATCATGAAGTCAGAGGGGAAACAATTGACAGGGTGATTTGATGGGGTACAAGGCTTACAGACTATGCAGGGAGCAAATACATAAGACTTCACACCGTTGGCTTGTGCTAGGTCAATAACTCGGGTATTTGTCTCAACAGGCTTGAGTACATCGTATAATTAGCATGGCTTGACGATAACCGAGGGCCATACTGCGAACTAACTTTTTGCATGAAAGAAATGGGAGGTTCTTGAGCTTTCTGGATTTCATATAGCTTGGGGTCAGTGTCCAAGAGTGGACTATCCGTAGGGGCACCTGCAAGACCCGAAAAGATCTTGGCTCCCGATGTCTAGAGAAGCAAAACCACGTGTTAGCCGATTTCCACTGAATTTTGAGCGGGGCCATTGACGGGGTGTACACACGTGAAGCAAGTGAACGTCTAGACCCGTCTGAGACTTCACTTCGCCCAAAGCTTTGATGAAGTTTTCTTGGCCCACAGATTCGAAAGCATCAATCAAGTAAAAGACAATGGTGATACGATTCTGTATCACTACATTTCGGACTGCCTGCTCATCTCGAGGAGAAAAAGTAAGAGGCTCGGCCCCGTATTGCTTTACTTGCTCCCGCTGAGCGTCTGTTCGAACGAGTGCGAACAGCTTATCGTAGCCCGTGAGGCTGGCGCTTGCCCAACGAGCAAGTAAAGTTCCCCCGAGGTAGCCTGACGCACCCGTGATAAGGATATTATGAGATTCAGTCATGGTAAGGATTGGTTTTGTTTATCGTTGATGGAATGCCAAAGCGAAAGTGAGATAAACCTAGACGTAGTCCGGTCTCATTCTTGTAAAATTGTGGCCAGGATCTTTCCTGCTTGCCAAGATTCTGGACCGGTACGAGTTACAGGACTCACTTCTGTTTTAAAATCGGGAGTTGACGGATAATCCGAGGGGCTCACCAAATGATCATAGAGATTAATAACTTGGTTCATGGCATTGATCTCAGACAAGCAGCCACCGTGGATTTCATCATTTGTAAGCACTTCTCTCGGGGCATATCGTGCTAACGGAACGTCTTGGGCTTAGTAAATTCGACAAAGTGTAGTGTCCGAGCCATGGGGAATTATACGGATATAGCTGTCACGCCCGGGACGGCCCTTCTATGCTGACTCAACCCCACCCTGAGATTCATTGTTGAGTGCGTACTGCACTCAATTAGTAAGTTTTCAGTGACATAAACTCTGTTCAACTACACTATCGTCTTTTCAATTACAAATTCACGAGTTCCGCGAGCCCCATATCAAATCAACTCTTAGTCAAGAGATTGCAGTAAATCGACCGGGGCGTGGACCGCAACGTTCTGCAAGTGCTGCCAAGTGTGGGACGCGTTGGTCTTGTGCCGCTGTCATTGGGTCGAAAGACACTCGCTTCTGCTTGTAGGGCTTCGAATGTCCCACAAGCAACCCACCACTTGAGGCTTAGGATCATAATCAAACCGCGAGTCCGCCAACATCATCGAGAAGCATCTCAATATCCCCGATGGCACAATTGGCTAGCGCGTCAGACTGTTAATCTGGAGGTTGGTGGTTCGAGCCCACCTCGGGGAGTTACGATGGTTAGAATCCATTAACTCATTGAGGTTTCATTTTTGCAATTTTTGGCACATCAGGTTCCACACGATATGGGCCGTCTGGTACGCAGATCACGGCGAAAACACTCCAAACACTCTTGCTTTATCATTTCTACGTTTTGAATATGTATGAGAATGCTAAGTTGTGGCCCTCGGAGTATGGTCACAAACGACTCAGGTATTCTGCCATGCAACATTTTCCGGCGCAGCTGTTATCTGATCCCGAAAGTCGACATGCCCGAGTTCTTACACCGCTCCCCAAAGAATTGTTCCATCTTGACGCGAAACGCTTAGCAGCCGACGTAGATGGCGTTGGCGAAGACTGTGACGCGAGAGTGGTAAGCACGTGCAACGCGAAAAGAGAGAGCGAGAGAGACTTACGGGCGTAGGTGTCGGCGTGGTTCAGGTTCTGGGCAGCGGTCAAGCTCTGGACACAGCTGTAACCGTAGCAGGAGCTCTGGTCGGTGGTGCCCTTGATCTGGGTCAAGTGGGTGACCTCGTGGAGCTGACGTAAATCGAGTTAGTGATCGAGCCAGTAGTAACTTTTATCCTGGAGCAAAACTTACGGCAGTGGTGGCACGGTCCTGAGCGTGGCAGGTGCTGGAGAGAGCGGTAAGGCTGTTGAAGAAGTAGGGGCCTGTGGCGCGGGGAGTTTCGTCAGATGAGTCACCAAAAACGATATGCCATGTCTAGTCGTGAGGGCAGCGGTACTTACAGTTGACCATGTAGGAAGCGGAGGGAAGAGTGTAGGCGATGACACCGGAAGAGCAAGCAGGGTAGATATCGGTGCAGTACTGCTTGGAGACACCAGAGGTGGTGCTGCCGCACTCGGTGGCGACCTTGGCAAAGACGCCAGCGACAGTGGTACGGGTAGCGGTGGAAGAGGACTTGAAGTACTCGACCATCTTGGCAGCGGCGCCAGTGGAGGCGGCGGAGGAAGCAGCGGCAGCGAGGGCACGGCAGTTGGAGAGAGCGGTGGTGGTAGCGGTGCGCTGGGTGCCGGTGCAGTCGGACTGGACGACGGTGCGCTTGACGTTCTCGCGGAAGTCGCGGCGGACCTTGGAGGCGGCGGCGCCGTCAACCTCGACGCTCAGGACGTTTGAGCTGAAGGAGGCGGTGCTGGTGATGTCGTTGCTGCCGACCTCGGCGATGGAGAGAGCGCCCTTGGCGGCGACATCAACCTTGCCACCGACGCTGAGGTCGTGGACTTCACCGTAGTTCCACTCGACAGAGACGGTCTCGCCGGCGGAGATGACCTGGAAGGCATCCTCGGGAAGGCCGTTGGTGCCGAGACGAAGGCGGATACCGTCGAACTCGACCTTGTCGGCTATTGATGAGGTTTGTTAGTGGCCAAGATTGGATCATTGTGATATTCATAAGAATGCACTTACAGCCAGCAAAGACCTCAGCCTTCTCGACAGCGAGCTTGTCGAGAATGGAACCAGCCTTCAGGACCTTGAGGTCAGAGGCACCGGTGTTGGTGATGCTTGCCTTGATGGCGGTGTTGCCAGTGGACTCGATCTTGACATCGAGGGGGCTGTCGCGCTTGTTGAGATCGACGACAACGGCGCTGGCAACAGCAGCGAAGCAGGAGAGGCCGGTGAGGAACTTCATGGTGAAGGTTGGACAAAGAAGGCGAGGAAGGTAATGCTGGGTTGATCTTGCCGATGCTGGTGAGGGATGAGGAGCAGGAGGTTGGCCATCAAGGTCCTCACGAGGAGTTTATATACTCGAATGAAGCCATATTCAACTGCTAGTCAAGTATCATCCCTCGTTCAACCATGGCTTGCTGATAAGCTTTCCTTCCGTGTTCCGCCTCCAATGGCCTTGATCATCATTGACAAGCGCTTTCCGGTGTCTGCCAAGCCGGGAAGAGCGACAGATTGGGAATGTGATAAAGAAGGTGGCTACATTCTCTTTCGTCGATATGAGGGGCTAAGCGAGTCTAACGCAACGAGGTCACCGGAGGTTAGCGAGGATAGGAAGGCAAAAGAAGGAGCGAGGGCGAGTTTGCAGGACCCGACGATGATGTGGGATGCCAAGAAAGCCAAGATGGCCAAGATGGCAACTCTATCGACCTTGCCGCATGT